AATCAATAAAAAAGGACACGTGTATGTATTTTTATATGACTAGTGGTTAAGTGATAATATGAAAAAGACATATTTTTCCGGCATGAAATGTTTTGAGTATACGCTAGCGTACAAAAATTTCCGGTCACATATATCTTATATATTATTTACTAAAAGCGATATGTAGATCAGTGTGAACTATTACTGGATATACGGCTACGACAACTAAGAGAAAACAGTGTTACAAACAATAAACTCTTTATTATCCTTTATATTAGATGTTTACAAAATCGTCAATACGACGCTTTCAAAAGTTTCCGGCCAGGCGTATCTCCAAATGTATTCAAAGTTTATTACGCTTTATTTGCATTGCATATGGATGTCAACATATCAGAATTAGTTACTAATGCATGGTCGCAGCACTTAAGGAAGACATGAAAATACTTCTATTGATTATCGGGAGAATAGTTGATTTGTCAAAAATTGGCAAACCGTCTCACGAGATCGCTGCAATATTAACAATCGGGAAATCTACGGTAAATGACATTATGAAAAAATATCATTCTGAAAAGAGTCTAGAAAAGTAACCACAATGTAAAAGACCATGAAAAAGTATTAAAAGAGTTGACCAACTAATAAAAAGAAAATCTACGGTAGATACAAAAAAGACTACTTTTTAAATAGCCTACGAAATACGTGAGGAAAGAATTGCTAATATTAGTCGCTCGACTGTGACAAGACGTTTACATCTTTTAGCTAGATCAGGTACAAAATATCCTTTCATTAGTAAGAAGAATCAGAATTTAAATTGAACAATCGACGATTGGAAAGATGTGGCATTTTCTGGTAAATGGACGATATAGAAGACGTCCTGTTGGAAAAATATGATGTGAGATATCAGATACTAACATTAAAATACGATGGTAATGGATAATGGTTTTGGCCGTATTTCAAAGGATTGGTCCATTTTTAGAAATTGAATTAAGAAAGGAAATTATGCACAGCATTATGCAGCAAGATATCTGATTGAAAACTTTTGCACACGACTGTTAACTACGTTAACTATTAACTCCGACGTAGCTATATATTTAAAAACCTATATCTAAACCTTGACGCAATTTATTTAATTGAGTAAATTTTAGACAGTAAATTTTGTTTTGAAAGCTCGTAAGTATCTATGAGTTTTATAATTTCAAAAAGGGTTCAAGAATTAAACTGGGAAATTATGGATCATCTCCATATATTGATTGACTTAGCAGCATCTGATTCAGCTCGTTGCAGAATTTTTTCATTTATTACTTAAAAAAACGAAAAAATCTGCATTGTTGAACATCAATGGAATATCTTATATGTTAATTAATACGTGAAGGTATATAGTATATGTACTTCGATTTACGCATTAGAATTTTGAAATAGAAATTCCGTGTACTAGAGATTATAGTTTCAAGGTGAAATTCAATTTCAAACTTAGCGACCTTCAACCAATGTGCAACAGAAATGTCTAAAGCATGTAATAATTTATTCAATTATATTGACAAATAAAAAAAATGGTAACAGCCAATACAATCATAGCCGTACAGTGTAAATGTCCCGTCTTGAACCAAATATAATATATTTTTTAATGTAACGTAAAATTTTAATAATTGGTTTATGTGTGTCACGGGATGAAAAAGATTGAAAATCACTGAAATAGAATAAAAAATATTAAAATAACTTATTTTCTAAATATGTTATTATTTAAATAAATATTTGATAATGTCCTGTCTTCGCTGAGAATCCGTTTCCGTTAGCCAACAATTATGCACCCCATGTAATCAAATTCTCGCTCGACGAGCCCACATCATATGCATTTCACTGCCGTCCTGGGCAGTTGTTCGATCATAAACGATTAACCCCGTACAAGGGTGCTGTTGTGTCTATCGTGTGCGAGGCAACTGGAACATCGCCAAGACTTTCAACAGTCTCATTCAGGTCGAGTTGCTCTGGGATATGTACCGCGTTCAATAACAAGTTGCCGACGCTGTCGTGGAGAGACTCTAATTTTTCTGAGGAAAGGAGGAGAGCCCTCTTCCTCCTCTATTTCTCTCTCTCTCTCTCTCTCTCTCTCTCTCACTTCTTTTCTTGCTGTAGGAATTGCAGCTTCCAAGATGTACTTAGGCTGTACTGAACCAAGAACAATGTGCAAACTGGAGTAAAGTAAATGCACCCCTGCTAAAACTCTTTTTTAAATGTCGAATCTCTCCCTTTTCTATATGTGTGTGCGTCTTTTTTGTCTCATCTGGAACACATATACATATCACTTTTCCCGTAGAATGGTTGACCGACTTGAACGTTTCTCGTGCAACGAGGAATTTACACTAATTGTTTCGCTGTGATGATACTCTGTCTGTGAAGAGAGACTTCTGTCAAATACTTGGCTCGAAAGTGTTACGAGGTTTGGAGATTGGATATGATTGTGTAGGGATGTTGGCGTTGAAAATTATATAATGTTTTAGAATATCTTGCGGTCGAGGATAGAAATGTACACTAGTGTTCAAAAGTAGAGTGCATATCTTTAATTGTAAAATTACAGGTCAGATGAGTCAGAGGCTAGCACTAGCGGCAAAATCGCTGTTGCTTTAACATCTGTATATGGCATTATTAGAGGAAAAAATTGAACTTTGATTGATGCGAGCCAGAGCAAAAATAGAAGACCAGTAACCGTGTCATCAAATACGCGCACATTCATATGGATGGTTGCCCTAATCGTAAACGATAAAACTATCGCAGGACAAATTGTCGCTAATGTGCGGGGCCTCAAACTGTAATGGTTTCATTCTGTATAATCGTCGTAGCTGTATAGGATAAAATATTATGATGCGATTAAATTCAATTTTTAAATTTAATATCCTAGGTTAGGTTTTTATTTTTTTAAAGTCCATGTATTATAACTATCATTAAAATAAGATAGTACATACATATAAGATCATAAAAAATATATCATTTTATTGTGATTATGATATGCAATTACTGTAAGATCAACGCAACTTCTATTGTTCAATATGCTAAAAATATTTACACAGAAGATTGCAGTCGTGCAATTCCTGACAAATAATTGTGTTACGTTATTGTAATTTTTTTGTTTTCTAGTGTGACATTAAATATTATTCAAGTATAATATAAAATTTTATAAGAAACGGAAAGAACAAATTTTGAACAAATTTGTAACATGTGTAGATTCTACCTCGTTTAGCTCTAAGAAAAGACTCGAAGATTGATTAAAGAGAAGAACATGTTTAAGTATTTGGTTAAAAGGTCACGGTCTCCACTTATCGTAACAAGCATTACAACTCATCATTTTCATAACGTGTTGTTTATGATTATAAATGTCAGGCTTTTAACTTACTTGAAGACAATGTACCCACAACATGTGAATTTAATTAATCTTTAACGCATGCGTTTTTTTTTAGTTTGCCGGTACAAAATAATTAATTTCTTTAGAATGGAGAATAATTAACAGTTTTGTAAAGATTTATTACAAGTAATCAAAAAGTCAAATGATGAACATATTAGTTGCATCGCCTAAATTGTTCATGTTTCTTTAAGGAACATAATCACTATTAGTAAATGTTTAACATAATTAACACTAGAACTACCAAACCAATCAAAATGATTAATATCAGATTTTTTGTCTTTCTAATTACAAAAACATGTAAGTATGTACATATATTTTTTAATATTAATATTTACTCTTAGTTAACTATGTACAATATATTTGATTGCATATGAAAAGTTGGCAGATCTAGTATTAAAAGAAAGTCGATGCTTGTAAGGAAACTAAAAAATTGATTAATAAATGCACTTATCTGATTTTATCTCTCAACTGCTATCGTTGGGAAATAAATAACCACTACAATTAAAAATAGGGATTGCTTAATATTAAAATATTAAATTTATTTTGTGTTCTATATTTTACGCGATATATAACATACACAACAAAATAATAAAAATACCCTGAATACCTTAAAGATAAGGAATCTAATCTAGTTAGTTATGGTCATTTAACGCATCAATATCAGTCGAGGATTAATCAGTATAGGTAAAAATAACTAAATTATTCAGTTTTCATAAATGTTGTCATCTTTATACATTAATTATTAAAGAAATAATATTTCTTCAATGAATATTCTTGGCAGATCTAGTATTAAAAGAAAGTCGATGCTTGTAAGGAAACTAAAAAATTGATTAATAAATGCACTTATCTGATTTTATCTCTCAACTGCTATCGTTGGGAAATAAATAACCACTACAATTAAAAATAGGGATTGCTTAATATTAAAATATTAAATTTATTTTGTGTTCTATATTTTACGCGATATATAACATACACAACAAAATAATAAAAATACCCTGAATACCTTAAAGATAAGGAATCTAATCTAGTTAGTTATGGTCATTTAACGCATCAATATCAGTCGAGGATTAATCAGTATAGGTAAAAATAACTAAATTATTCAGTTTTCATAAATGTTGTCATCTTTATACATTAATTATTAAAGAAATAATATTTCTTCAATTATAATATAATATAATATAATATAATATAATATAATATAATATAAGATAAGATAATATAAGGTAATATAACATGATATAACATGATATAACATGATATAACATGATATAACATGATATAACGTAATATAACGTAATATAACATAATATAACATAATATAATGTAATATAATGTAATATAATATAATGTAATATAATACAATACATGCATTTTTATCTTTTGGCCCAACGTCCTTGAAAAAGAAAGGATCCGTTGGATTTGTTTAACTTAGACAGAACTAGAGCAAACTAATATAAATTAATGTTTATTGCGAAGAAAATAGCATGAAATCCAAGGAGAGAAAAAATATTACGAAAACATAAATTTTTTGTATTATTATCCTTTTTATATCATAATTATACGTGGGTAATTATGTACATGCACATGCACGCGAGTGATTAAAATGTTTTATATAACTTAGAAATTTAACAAAATATTGTCCTCTTTATTTCAGGTGACTCCTTACAATGTACACCTCTGGACCGAGCGTATAAAAGCAAAGTTTTGGGACATTATCCTGATTCTGTACCATGGAACCCCTTCGACGAACACGCTGTATGCATGGTACGTTATTAACAACAATTATCGTTTCTGAGAATCATAATGTGAGAAACACAATTTTTGCAAAATTTCACGATATTCGTACGAATTGATTTTAATTTTTGTTAACCTTAGAAACTAGGGAATTACGTATTACCTAGAACTTTATCACAGATCATTTGGACCATATGTGATTTTCTTCCTTCCCTGCATGCTTTTAATAATCATTATGGGGTATTTCTAAATACTGGTTGGTAGAGTGATATTCAATAACAGTTTTCATCAATTTCTTTTTTCAAAGTGTGAATGCACTATGAGAACGTAAAGAACAAATGATTGGCTATTATAATTATCAAAAGTAGAAACAATTAACATGTTTTATTTAAAAGTACAAAGAAATAATGGTTTTAAGCGATTATAAAGAAAATTTAGCTTAATATAAACGAAATTTTTTTCAATTATGTTATACCAATCTTCATACGAATTACATAATTACATAATTGATCAGTTACATGATCAATTACATAATTGATCAATTACATAATTGATCATGTTGTCACATCATTATATGATCATACCATTATTTCTTGAATGGTACAGATAAAACTATGAAATTTTATATGTCTCATTTACCATTTAATGTCTCAGTGTATAATGTTAAAAATATAGACAGTAATTAACCATCAAAGTCTAAAACCAAAGGGCACCAATGAGAGCAAGAAAAAAGAGAACAATAACAGTCAAAAGGTTTGCACCTAATGTTTTAATGGATCATGTTTTAGCATCTTCGGTATAAGTATAATATTTCCTAATCGATATCTTATATCCTGTACCCTATATGCTAAACGATATTGAAATTAAAAAAGAATTATTATTATTGTGTTCGTCATTTAAAGATAGCTCAAATTCGTATTAGAGTTACAAGTAGACATGAAACTCATATAAATCTTGTAAATTTATATTAATACTTTCTAAACTTCATCAGATAACATACTAATGCATCTTTTCACGATCTAAAAACTAAAATGAGAATCATATTAATAATGCCAATTTCTACATATTTTTACTCTACTCGTCAATTTATGTATTTTTAAACGTACCTATAAAATACTAATAAAGTATAATTATTATAAAAATTCAACACTCTATACGCCCTAAAAGTGCCCGCGAAAAATATACGTTTCTCAAACTATACTTTCTTAAAAGTTCCTTACCGGGGAATATACTCACTCAGAAAAAACATCACTGCTCTTTATTTATTCAACCATTTCTATCGCGTGACTTCATGTAGTTCCGTTGAAAATTTTGTTAAAGATAGAAGAAAGAAGAGGAACAGTGCTTTTGACAAAGTTTGATAGAATCAGTAAATTGAAAGATTAAAAGTATAAAGTATTTTATATACATATAGTAAAGATATTTTCGCAGTTGGTCGTTTGAATGCCTAAAGAATATATGCTATATTCCTGTCTTTAACATTTTATACAAATTATATTTCTCATATTTTTAATTTTATTTTTACATTATCAATGACTTTTTTTTAGATAAATTTGATACCTTACACGAAGAGACAAGATGCTCAGCTATATTTTTCATTTTCTTTAACAGGATTTTTTAAAATTTAACGTTTTTAGTTGATTTTGAGATGAAATATTTATTTTCGTAACAATTAAAAAGTTCTTTTAAAATAGAACATTTTTCATTTATCTATCCGATTCCACGAAACTTACCTTGAGTGGCTTCTCTCGAAAACACCCTCGAATATAGAAAAAGGAAAAGGCACGGTAGGTACTTTTCGCCAAGCTCTAACAGAATTACTGGGACGTAAAATTAAGAGTGCAAAATACTCGACGTATATACGGTAAACTGGGTACACATTGTTCGCGATCAACAGCGTTATATAGGCTACCGCGTCCTAGTTGCGAATGGTAAAAAGTAGAGGAAGAAAAGACGAAGAAAAGAAATAGTGAAGAAATGAAAAGGCGTTGTGTGCAACGTCTGTTCATTAGATATTCAATCTTGCAGCTCTGCCTGCCAAGCGGCCTGAGATTCCGAACCCAGAAACACTCGGTGGAACCAACGTTTCACTCGTTCGTGCTCACCAAGGAGGACGGGCACAGAACCTACGGGTTCAGTCTTGTTTTCTACGAGGAGTGCCGGAATCGCAAGATATGCGCGGCTATGCAAACTCTGCAGGCGATGCACATCACGGAACTGAGCAGCGGGCAAAACGGTACACCACCAACGTGAGTCTTCTTTCCGTTGTTTATTTTCCTTTGCTTGAGTTCCTCCATGATGCTGTTGATCCTTTTGTTACGTAAAGGATAACGTGATTAGCAGATTGCACCTATTTATGCGAATTCTTATTTTTATGAATACGATTAGAGAAACGAGACACAGGAACATTTTGTTTAGTAAATAATATAACGAATATTCTAATTTGAATACGTTATAGGTTTTTGCACATCATACGCATTTTGTGCATTTCAGTACCTTCAAATTTCTTATCAATGCATAAAAATCTGGGGTCTAGTGATCAACTTAGATCATTCTATAGTAGATCGATTGATATTTTTTGTGTCGTATGAGGAATATTGTGTCAGAAGGGAGTTTAAATCTTACCTACGTACGATACCGTGCACAATTATTTGAACAGTTGTCGCAATTCGCTTAAAGATTGATATTTTTTTATATTTTAAAACATATGATCGAAGAACGTTTCTTTATTGTTATTGCCTGTTATAAGTAGGTTCAAATTCTCTGAAAAATTCAAATTAAAACAAGATATATATCTATTACTCAGGAATTCCGTTTATTACTAATAAATATCTAACACTTCATAAAATCTACATAAACTTTTAGAATGTAGCTGGAAACATATAGTTGTTTCAATCGCGATAACACACCAACATTGAATGATTATTGATGTCTGTAGGACTAGTATTCATTCACCTTCGATTATTGCTCTTTTAATTGTACTAACTAATATCAATTATTGCCTTTGTCAATATCTATTAACAATATGTATATGGTTGCCTGAGATAAGTTCAAAAGCTAAAATTAGATTGAAGTGTTTCATTTAAAACATATTTTATATATCTGTAATAATTTAGAAGTACCGAAATATCTATGTACATATTCTTAAGTAATAATTTGGTTTTTTGCTGGCTTCATGTAACATTTAACCCTTTAACCTACAATTATGGGCATAGCCCGTAGTACGATGACCAGGCCAAACCTAAATATCACGGGCATAGCCCGTATTAGGTGATTGGACCAAACGTAAATATTACAGGCATAGCCCGTAGTACGATGATCAGGCAAAATATAATATATAATATATACGTAGTAACTTAAATGGGTCTTAGAGTGAGGACAAATAATGATGTTTTATTTGGAGTTAAGTTTAGTATAACAAGCAATACTCAATACAAAAAATTGATTACAATATCGTCGTACGTCTTATTATCATACTCAGCTCTCAATTTCTCGATTCATACTCTCTGGCTTCTCCACTCACACTCTGCGGCTTCTCCACTGACTCTCTCTGACTTCTCAACTGACACTCCCGACGGAACTGGACCCGATGGCGCCTCGGCTCTCGCGACATTGTTTATGGTTGACTTGATATTTCGTAAGCCCTTTTCCACGATACTACATATAATAGCTTGTTTACGTTTTCGGACCAAAATTCTCATACGTAGATCGTAGGTTAAGGGGTTAAATTAAATTATCAAGGAAACGATTAATCAGAATGTTGTATTCATGAAACAGTTTGTGATTCAACATAGGAAATAGTTGTTAAAACCATTTGTTACCAAGAGTTATATTATTCTAATAAATTATAATAATTATGAAATCCTTCCGGAAGGACAAGCAAGAGTTAGAGTAAACAAAGGGGTGCAAAAATAACTTGTTGATGTTGAATACCAAAAAAACACTCCGACTAAAAGAAAATGCACTCCAAAAGCACCCCAAAGAAAAGAAATGGGAAATTACTAGCACTATTCATAGATTTTTCAAAATTCTCAAAGCTGTTTTGCATGAAACTGAGTTCGTGATGATGAGAGTGATTAAAACTATTGACGAGAACGTATCGTTAAGAGTTACATTTGTGGATGAAGGACAAGTCATAAAGTGTATTGAAGGATTTGTGGGAGAAGGACAAGTGAGATAGAGATTTCGCAACGAACATTGTTACAGTATGTTTAGGAAAATGGTTTAACAGTAAACATAGATAAGTCAAAAATAATAATTGTCCAAAAAGCAAGGAAGAAAAAGAAACAAGTTAAAGAATACAGGTATAACGAGTCAACACTAGAAGTAATAAAAACGTATACATATTTAGGAGTACACTCTTATGCATCAGGACTTCTCGGATGGACTAACTATTTCATGAGCAAAGGTAGAGCAAAATGCGAAATTGGGAACGAAGACTACATCTATTCAAGTGACATCAGCAACGCTACATGCGAGTAGTATTTGGTAGTAGCATATTCAACTACAGAAGTTGCAGTTGGCATATTTTATTACAAGATAAATTAAGAGAAATAAACGGAGGAGACGTTCCACAAATAACCAATCAAATAACCAAACAAATAATAAATCAATTACCTAATATAAGGAATAGATCTTTTTTTAGATGTTTTTTTTACTAACTGTATCTAATTGTATAGTTACAATTACTTACATTTATTTTATTTATTTATTTATTTGAAAGTTAACGTTGTATCGGTATGAAACCATATGTCGGTTATTAGGTGTAAATAGATGTAAAAAGTGTTTCCTTTTGAGACATCTGGATAAGCTTGAATAGCAACTTTTAGCAAGATGGCTTTTTACCCTGTGTTAATGTACTCCACTGTTGGGATTTTTAGTTAATCTTCTTTATGTCATTGTTTCTTACATATCTCAATGTGTATAATGTTGTTCTTAGAATTGTAGATTTTCTACTTTCTTTATATGGGATTTGACAGCCATGCTTCAGGGTTGAATTACATATGTCCATATGAGTTTGGTAATTGTTTTGTAGATCTATAGCTTATTTTACTGTTTGTATTCACTGTTTGTATTCAACTTGGAGTTTCTGGTTATGAGACATTTAATAGTTTTTCTATTAGTTTTTATTTGTTTAATTTTCTCTCGAATATGGATTTTCTAGTTTAGTTTGTTGTCCAAATGAAGACTAAGGTATTTGATGGAATTTGTTTGCTGGATTTCTGAATCATGAAAATAAATTTTCGGAGTTGGTATATTTTTTAAGCAATAGAGTGGAAACTAAATTTTTCACAGAGGACCGACAAAAACACTGAAATCTGGCCAATTTGTAATATATTAAAGATCTAACGAAGCCCAACTGTGAAGAATACCCAAAATTGAAGACCCAAAGGGTATATAGCAGAATTATAGCTCAAATAAGGTTGTCCACTAGGCACGAGACGTGGATTAACTATGATAATGGAAGTACGTTAAAATTAAATGACTGAGTTTTGCCGACTTTGTAATATGGACAAAGTAGAAAATTTGAATCATCTTTTAAGTGTATACCCACACCTCAATAGAGCGAGGGGAGAAAGATGGAATTTTCCACAAATGCTGATTTTAAGAGACATCCAGTAAGCAAAAGAGTTCGTGTACTTTATCCAGGCATTAATGAAAATAATTGGGTTGGCACCGGACATTAATCGTGTAACTATCATTTTGTCGGAACTAAGATTCAAGGATAAATTTCTACTGTATTGACACTAGGTTTACGGGCGTTTCTTATATACCTATCTCTACGAGCACCTGTCAAATTGACGGAAAATTCTACCAAATGTCCAAATCGGACAAATTGTGAATGTAAACAACTAAATAAAAAAAAAAATTGACGGATAAACGAAAATACGCATTTTCTTTAAAAAATCGATTTATTCAAATTAAGTCTTAATTGAACAATATTAGGCTCCACGTTTAGATAAATTGTTAATAAGTAAAAAGTCTTTTTTTTTAATTATCATGGAAATGATAACAATAATATTAGCGATATAGGGTAATCATATTTATTGAGTATATTTTTTACAAATATACTGAATTTTGTTTGTGCATTTTCCGCATATGATCTTTGTGCAATATATATAACAATTATTGCTTCTATTTTTTTTTTGCAGTAGGCCACTTGGTAACTTTTTCGCACTTCTGACGTTAAAGGTGACAGAAATGAAGCGAAATGATCTTTGGCAAAATATAAACTCCTTTCTGGATATTTTCGATCGGGTGCACTCTTTACATAATATACACGCGCTTATCGCTGCCAAATCTAAAATATTGAAAAAAACTTGAAGGGGCCATCGGAAAATCGTTGTTTTCACACTATATTTGCGTGCCATCTTGCGTCAATGACGGCCACACCAAACTTTGTTTTATTATAAAAAGCAATGGTTTCTGGAACACGTTTATAATTGTCTTCTACTTGTATACCTGTATGTTTGGTGCTTAGAAGGAGGGCTTTTACGTTAGGTTTACTTTTATACACAGTAAGCGTGCAGTTTTCTGATTTATATAAATTTGAGGAAAACAATGTTATCTTGTCCTTTTTTCCCTTGAGCATGGAGTTTCATATTTCCCCATATAAGGAAAACCATTCAAAATATATTTTGTTTGGATGTCAACTGCTAACCAAAACTTAATGCCAAATTTATGAGGTTTATTTCGTTGGAAATAATTGTTCATCTATTGAGATATTTTCATATGGCTTGTAACAAGCCTGGCTATTACTTATAAATCTGTTCCGTTTTTCGAATATCAGCGCAAATTTATCTATTTGTAATCTTTCGGCTTTCAATGATCTCGCTTCATATGCGCTCCGGGCATATAGAATTCCTAGAAAACTACGCAACACAGCAACTGTGATTGTCCAGTCTTTTTTCAAAACTCGATGCGCCTCGGTTTCAGTGCAATCTTTTATGTGTTCCATTATGTGTCTGTCAATTATCAATTTGAAAGTACTAGTTACCCGACATAATATTTCTCTTAGTATAGCCAGTAAGCCCTGCGATATCCTTGAATATCATACGAACGGGCGTCCTACCCCTAGATCCGCCTGCTTTCAATTTTATCCACTGTGTCCCGTCAATTGCAATTTCAGTTTCACCCATTACATTTTGGGATGTACTTGGAATGCTCGTCCTTTCATCCTCGGAGTCAGAACTAGAAAAAATACGCATCCTTTTCTTGTTACGATACACTTTCAAGAAGTTTTCCTCTT